GGGGGGGGTTGTCGCGGTCGCCGGCCTTGGCTGTCCCAGCGAGCGGGAGGATCCCAGCGGTGGGAGGGACCGCCGCGCGGGAGGGCGACGGGCGGCCCAGGGCGCCAGAGGCCGGCCCAGGGCTAGGACTCTTTGAGCGAGTGTGTTCCTCCAGAAAAAAGACCGTGTAAAAAACAGTCTGCCGAGAGCCGCCTTTAATATCAATGAGGATTTATTATCCTACCGGAAAAAGCAGATTATGTTTCTTATTACTAAACGCCTGAAGTACTGACGACCCAACTGGAGCCCACAAAATTCAATATCCTGGGAGCTAGAAGGAATAAAGCAACACGGAAAATTAAATGCAGTTCAGATGCTTCAATAAAACCTTCATCTTCATCCATTTGTCACTCAGCATAGTACTCCCCAGAGCCAAATTCTAACAAATACTGGTCAGGCAAGGGCGGGGTGGAGGAGGAAAGGGGTGAGGCCAGAGGCCAGCAGGAAGCCAAGGATAGATTCCTGAAAAGAATTCCTTAAAAGGACTAAGATGGAAAAAAGAATAGCTTTTCACTCCACAAAGAAAAAGAATTCCTGCCAGAATAAGAAGTAGTGCTTTTTAGGGAGCTTAATTGGTCACGAAAGGGATTTGTCAGAAACACCAGGCATACAAAGAAACTGTATTTGTAATATAAGTTATTAATACAAAAAACAATGTTATGGATTGTGGACTTGCTACATACCTTCCGGTAGACTTGAAGTAAGCTTAGATCTGGAATTAACCTAGGCTTCCTTGACACATAATGAATACTTTGAACACTAAATGCCTGCTTTGACTAAGTAGAAGGCTGCCAGACCATAAGCAAAACTAAGTGTGATAAGAAAAAAGTACAAGGCCTTGACTTCGTTAATACATTTAGGTCTGTCCAGAAGATTATGGATGTGGCTGTCAGAATCCAGAAAATGCTTTAAAGATAAGAGAAGTTAAGAATGTTAACTGTGAAAACTGCTACTGAGTGTAGAAACCAAGATGTTTTTAAATCTGTGCATGAAGCTTAAAAGTTTTTCAGTAAATAGTCCATGCAGAACAATCAACTTTACATGAGAAAATTAAGTAAAATTTAACACAAGTGTTAAAGTAGCTAACCCATAACTTTAAGAAGAAATGACTATTTCAAATTCTTAAAAGTCATCTTTTCTTAGAAATGTTTAAAGTCACTTTGCAGTGGTTTTGGAAACGGTGTGAAGATTATGATAAGGACACGTAAGGACAGCCTTGTAAAATACCTAGTTAAATGACAGCGACAAGGTGAGGCCTTGTGTTAACTACCTGTATATTTTAATGTGCAGTTCTGCTGTTCAAATTCTTTTGATGCTAAGGAATATTGCACAGCTACTCTATTTTTTTTTAACTCTCTCCAGAGGCAAACATCCCCAACATGTATCAAGACCTCCATAATGATGAGGTATGAGATGTTTTCTTCTTTAATATTAATAATAACAGAACTGAAGATCAGAAGAGTGATTTTGGGGTGGGCTGGAGTGGTGGTTCCGTGGACAAAGGTGCCTGCTGCCAAGACTGATGACCTAAATTTGATTCCCCATCACCCACGTGATAGAAGGAGAGAACCAGCTGCCCAAGTTGCCCTCTGACCTCTACACTTGCACCATGTACCTACACAAACACAAAAATAAATAATAAACGTTTTTACATGATGGGTCAAAAAGTCAATAAAAGGTTAAGAAAGCAAAACTGATCAAAAATAAAAAGACTATTGGTTGCTTAGAAAACGGTTTTATAAAAAAATGTTTTTAAGACATCTATTCACAGTTGGTTTACCTCTTTCTGGTATGCTATTTGTTAATTCATTCAACAAATACTAAGTGTATATTCTTTACACTGAATAAATTTTTAAATGGACAGGATTATAGAAACTAAGACTAGATCTGGCACTTTTCTCCAGAGTTCTCTCCTTCTTAGAAGGAAAAAAAGTAACAAATTACTGTGCTGTGTTTGTGTGTGGCATATACAACATAAAATATCACCCTCCTAAGAAGCTGGGAATAATTAAAATACACTGAACTTATCATTACATTGAATTCAAAAGTTAAGTAAATCAGTTCCTGTTCACAGGGGGTTAGATCCTAATAAGGACACCAGATATAATGTCCTATATGTCATAATTATATATGCTATGTAACATAAAAATAATGACATCATTAGGAGTAGAGTCTCAGTGATGTGACAATATGCTATAGAATATCAGAAAATATAAAATATTTACATCTGAGGGAGAATTAAGGAACCCTCAATGACCAGTACTCAGAGGAAGAACATTAAAAGCAATTAATGTCCAGCATCATGAAAGACTTGGGAACTTCTTAAATCCATAGACCCAGTTTTTTCTAAAACCAACCATTCTCTATGATGGCTACTCTTATTGTCAACTAGAGATGGCTTTTAGATCCATTAGGGAGTTTACGAGCTTTTATGTGAAACACATCACTTAATATTTGTAGCAATTTGAGAATAGGCGCTGCTTTTCTATACATGAGCTGACTAATTCAAAAAAAAGCACATTAACAGCTATGAAAAATATGAAAATCAAAATCTTCCTTTCCTGGGGACATAAAATTGAACTAGACAGCAAAATTTGTCAGGACAATATGCAAAACATTAAGGTTAGATGATTCATATCCAAAGCAACTTAAGGAGGATGCTTATAAACACACATGTACCCCAGATGTAACACGAGTCCTTCTGCCCCTGGAAACTTTATATAAAATCTGCCTTGAACCACAACCCCACACTGTGGTAGAAGACTGAAGCCCTTCCTGGTATTTCTTCCCTGGAGTTGCAAAAGCTTACCCTACTTTGCTCTGGACCCAAACTCTCCTTCCCATACCCCGTCTTCCCTTGCTCTGGGCCCAGACATTCCTTCCCATGCCTGGTCTTCCCTTGCTCTGGACCCAGACACTCCTTCCCATGCCCATTCTTTGTTCTACTCAAAGCTTTGTTGTAAACGGAAGAGTCATACCAAAACCATAAGCAGTCTCCAACAAAACTTCAAATAATTAGAATAGGATGGACTCAAGAATGTGATGCTAGAAGAGGAAGAAGAGCAATACACACACACACACACACACACACACACACACACACACACACATTTATGGTGTGGTATACTGATTACATTTTCTGGAGAGAAAAAAAAAAAAAAAGAGGCCCAGATAAAGACTCCTGCATAAGAGACAATTTGACAAGATTGCAGAATGGCAACAGAGATCATGAGGGAGAGGGCTGTTGGATGAATGGTATTAGAGAAGTAAGAAGAACTGATCTTTAAACAATACACAAAAATTAACTTTGGGTGCTTTATGGATAGGATGTGGGGAATATAATTGATAGTTCTATTTGTCATGCACAAGTGGGTGTGAAGAGGAGGATCAGTACTCTCATAGGAAAAATGAAAACAATAAATAAATTTCCAGCAGATTGGAAGGCTCAGGAAGCCATTTGAATCAACAGATCCAGTTATCCTAAAACCAGATCAGTCTCTATGATGTCAACGTAATGGGTTTAGAAGCATGTAGGTGAGGCAAACCGGCGTGGGCATGGCAAGAAAGGGTATATTGAAGAGAAAGACCAATGGTGTAGGTGACACCATGCCCATTGGCTAGGGTCCACAACACAATAGAATGTAAAATAGGAGGAAGTAGAGAGCCTGCATTCTCTATGTTTCCAGTGAACCACCCTCCTATGCCACATCCTGTAACTGACACAGTATTTGGCCCTGTGTCCATAGTCCTAATGACCACGGACTCAAACCTCTAAATAATGAGTTGAAATAAAATCTTCCTCCTGTAAGTTGTTCTGTCAAGTATGGTCAATTGCCACAAATACAACTGGTGCAATTGCCATGAATCCTAATAGTCCATGAGCAAATGATTTCTTGTAATAGATCAAGGTACTGTAATTAGATTCATACAATTCAGCACTTGTCTTAGTTGATGTTCACAGCCAATTTTACAGTTTCATTAAGATAGACTGACTGGTTCATTATTATCATGAGAAATATTTTACAGCCCAGCTGGCTTTCATTTCACTGTATTGTCTTGACTGGACTCCAACTGAGCCTGTGCTCTTTAGGGGTG